CGCCGAGTTAGCCAGCAACTAGTCAGTTGTATTCTGGCATTTGGAGTGTACTAATTGTGATACTGCAGATAGCAGTAACCGTAAATCTGTAATTTGGGTGATTGTAAGTGCGAATGTGAAATAAAATTCGCTATACAAAATACGGCGTGAAGTTATTTGTCGCGATATACGCCCGATACGCGACAATACATAAAGTAATATGTATGTTAAGGGGTGCATATATTACAACTACTCTAAAATTGGTACTGTTCAATCTTACAACAGCTGTAAGTAAAAGATGTCGTTTTTGAATCGTTGGATATATAAAAAGTGATGCAAAATGTTTACAATATGGCTGAAAATAGCCTACGAACTTAGCGTGGAACAAGAGTATGTAGAACAAAGGAAGAAAACATTCACTATAGAAAAATAAATTATGAGGTTCACTATCAGCCACTTATTTGATAAGATAAACACTTAATTTTTATTACTGAAGAAAATAAACCGTTATTTAGTTGCAAAATTGAGCTCACAGATCCTCACAACAAGAATAACCCAAGCACCGTGTTACAACCATTGTAATTTTCCTTACAAACGATACACAACACAAGTTAGTAACGTACAGTTACTGTTCATGGGGACAATCGAATAGAAGCTATCGATTATTTGATAGTTGCAAATTCTGGAATAATTGAAATATTTGTAAAATTATGCAGTGAAATTATCGGCTTTGCACCTTGCGGTGGTAACCCCAAGTACTTGGGTTTCCCCTGCCAATTCGCATTCCACTAACCGCTCCACATTCATCATCAGCTTATTGGGTGCTGGTACAACAGGCCAAGCAGTGGCCAACGTACCAAGTGGACTCAGTCTCACACCACCCCCACGAAACTAACTAATATAATTGGAATAAATTCTGAAATATATTTATCATATCGCTATCAGCCATAAACAACACCCATAGTCGTTGTAACATTTTAACGTACAAATTGTTTATAATGTTACATTATTTTACGTCGCTGTATTGGTATGCTTGAATTTTGCCGCAATAGGAGAGAAATTTGTATTGTCATTGAGAAATTATTGTCGTAAACTTGGGGTTGGTGGCGCTGTCCGGCAAGAAGTGACGGGTAGTGTGATTGACAGGATACGTGAAAAATGGAAAAGGGAAGAGATATTTGTTTAAATTTTAATCAGATATGCCGCTTTTGTTTATCTCAAGGAGGTGTAATGTCAGCAATATTTGCAGATTCTGGTCAGGAGATTACTTCTCTACCAACTAAAATCATGGCGTGTGTTTCAATTCAGGTTAGTGTTGTTTTTGCATTCGACGGGCTGAAGCCGAAGGGTATGTGTGGGGTTGTTTGGGCGGAGGCTTTTGTTGTTATCCGTTTGATGGTATGACTCAAGTTTGGGGTCATATGTAAATGTAGTCATATGGAAAAATGAGTGGAACCATGTGTAGGTTCCACAGTTCTGGTCACAAATAGTTCTAATTTTCCGTGATCACATCTGCTTATATTGGTTGTAAATGGACATCTGTAGCGGAAGATGACATACTTGTTGTAGTCTCCTCCATGCAGTGTAGTAGTATGAGACCTTTTATTGTTAAATTGATTAAATGCATTTCAACTTCAATAGGGCTGTAGTAGTTAAGACTGCAGTATTTCGTACATTTTAAAATTAGCATTGAGCAGTTTCACATTTATTCTATCAATTTTTTTAGCGTGAGATATTAAAAATTACTGTATGAACGTGTTACATCAATGTTTAATGTAGAATAAGATTCGATAGTTTTATATATATTTATATGTATCTGGATTACATTAGAGCTTATGTATAAGTGTGAACTAGGTTTGTTATATGGTTATGTTGAAGTAATGCAGGTGGTGCAAACAGTAGTGAGATGTTATTTTTTACATAAGCACATCGTTTGTTGTAAATTTGAATTGTAAAACATCTTGATACATTAAATATGTCTACATGTAGTGTGTTCTCAGTAATTAAATGTTTTATGTTATCAAAGTACATATGCATTTTCTAGGGTGTATAAGGGTTGTGAGAAATTATTACTTACAGCAGAGTCTCTTATTTTTGAAAGAAGTATTATTTGCATGTTTTTAAAATATTTAAGAGGTGACTGCATCAAATTATATAATGAGATTTCAATGACACAAGGAATAGCGTAGTCAGTATAGTGAGTGGCTGTGGGTTGGACAATGGAGGGGTCAAAGTTCAAGTCCCAGTAGGGTCAAGAATTTTTTCTGTGTCATCCAGAACGGCTCTGGGGTCCATCCAACCTTGTATCCAATGAGTACTGGGGGCTCTTTCCCTGGGGGTGAAGTGGCCAGATGTGAAGCTGACCACTCACTTTCAACTATTTCCGAGATCAAGAAAATGTGGGTCTATACATCCACACCCCCATACACCTTCATGGTGTAGCGTGTAATTAGTTAAGCAGAGGGACAACTTCACCTTTAGGGGTGAATGCGAATCAAGGAGTATAAAGTAAACTTTACCAAAAATATATTTTGTGGTACATGTGATATGTGTTCAACAAAGGTGATGTAAGAACTGCATAATTTTGTATTAGTGTTTACTCACAGCTATAGAAGTGAAAACCATTTTGTGTTGACCATGTGGGACAGCCAATTTAAAATTACAAAGTTGCCTTTACTACGTGCTTGTAACAGGGAATACGCTAATTACAGATAGGCTGTGTTGTATGAATAGAATGATGCCATAAGGTGAAATAAAACAAACCATCAAAGTATTTTAATTACCATTAAGCAGTGTACAGGTGCTATAAGGAATGACATTCTTAATTAAAAAAAGTTATATATGTATATCCCCCCAACAAATATTATAGACGTTTTGGGGTGTACATTTTGATGTACTATGAATTGGAAAATGAAGTTATTTATTCTGGCGGATCATGCATTCAACTCCTTTATTAATTTCTTACCTCTAAATTAGTAACTTTGGAAAACAAGTCACAGCATATTCTAACTCACTGTGCCATTTAAATGAGGCTAGAGAAGCCCTCTGTACTCAGACTTGTATAATTAAACATTAAAAATACTTAATAGTACCAAACCTTTTTTTTTTAATTTATTTTATGTGAAACTAGACCTCTCATTCTAAGAGAAGAAATATTGAAGATTTTATAAAAAGAAAATTGTTTAATCTGGCAGTGCAGGGGTGGTAACCATATTTTAGTTCAGGAGTAACAGGTTGGTCAGCCAAACTGATATTTTAAATCATTCGTATGGAACTATGAGTAAGTAGATTTTATCATGTAGATTTTTATCATCATTTTTATCAGTTAGTATTTATAATTAACATTTCTTTCCTTCCTCTCCTGTAAACTGGGTAAAAAACATTTTACAAGAAGTTGCAAAACACTTTCTTGATTATTACTATAGGATTCTGACGATGGTGTATAACACACTGATATATTGGGTTTCTGGACTTTATCCATCGTCCTAGTTTTTAAGATAACAAAAACACGACGTTTCGGAAACTGGATCTGTTTCCGTCCTCAGGTGAAGGAAAACACCTATTCTGTTGGGTCCGTTAGAAAGAGCTAGCCTCAATCACTGGACCAGTGGGTCCAGTGATTGAGACGGAAACAGATCCAGTTTCCGAAACGTCGTGTTTTTGTTATCTTAAAAACTAGGACGATGGATAAAGTCCAGAAACCCAATATATCACTTTCTTGATTATATATTGCATTAGAAACAGAAATTTTCAAAACAGTGAATTCAAAATTTGAAGTAGAAAATGACATGCATATCAGTAATGTAGTAAGCAGTGTTGCATAACTGCATTAACAAGTCATAAGATTACATTTTTACCAACAACATTAACTGTATATGTAACTTTGCTATAGATTTTTGGACTGTGTCCTCATATATTTTGATGTGTAAGTGCCAAAAATTTAACTTCCAGTCATTCTTGTAGCCACATGACTTCAGATATACGTAAGCTGAAATAGAACTTCATGTAGCTAATCTAGTAGAACAATATCAGCCTTCTGAGAAATGCAGTTTATGATGTGTTCTGATTTGTTCAACATAATGTATGAGAAAAGGATATGTAATGAAAGTGATTTATAATAATTTTCTTTTTGTTTACTGCCATTTAAAATAGGAGGTGGGGTAATTTCAGATAATTGGTTACGCTTAAGGAGCAACAGTACCAGAGGTTCAGAACCACTGCCCTAGAGCAGTGAGAGTCTTTTAATGCCAACCACTATAAAATGTCTGTTTCACAGCAGTGCATAGTGACAGAATGGATTAGAAGGTTGAAGGCTCTCACAGAGAACCAGATACGTTAAACCACCTTTTTTGCAAAAAATTATCCTGAAAATCTGCTTTCACTATGTTATCTTCTTGCAGATGAAGGAATTCTGCTCTTGCCTTGACAGTCTTCTCTTCAAATGCTTTTTATTTTGACTGTAAATGCTATCACTATGTATGCTTTCAGTTTTTTTTTTTTGCTAGTGGGGTGGGACTAAGTCCCTTGTACTGCAGCCACTTCTGGCCTGTTGTACCAGCCCCAGATGATAGGTGAGGGTGGTTGTGGAGCAGTTGGTGGAATGAAGATTGGCAGGGGAAACCAGAGTACTCGGAGAAAACCTGCCCCACTTTGTCCACCACAAATTCCACTTGACCAGACCTGGGATCGAACCCGGGCCACTGCAGTGGGAAGCCAGGGACTAACAGCTTGAGCTATGGCACGTCCCATGCCTTCTGTTACTGACAGGAAGTGTCATACCTACGGCAAATGTACATATATGTTTGGTTGCCTTGAGCAGAATTGTCAACTCTAACCATATCAGTACATCAGCAGCTTCAACCCTACATTGGTAAAGCTCTAACTTACTGAGGATGGTAGAAACCATGTCATTAGCTGTGAGATTATTCACTGTATTTCCTCATAGTGATAGCTTCGGCTAGTTAATTCTAACAAAATAATCTCCAAGGTATACCTGTTTTAGAGTGAAATAATGGTCCATTATATTCCAAACAATTCTTGCTCATTAGAAGTCTCTCCCTCAGTGAACACTAATATTTTTTCTCTGTGGTGGACCACTTAGTTTCATAGTTTTCTGTGTGATAAACAGCAAACTTATGTATGAAACAGAAGTTCACTAAAATCTCATTACATAATAATTTAAACATTCTGGGGTTTCTGTTGCTTCATTTAATATGTTTAACAATTTCAGCAACTGCGCAATACTCTTTGACAAGATTTGGTGGAAGGTCTTCACAGCTAAAGTGTATCTATGAAGGACACCTGGGTGAAGGTGATGTGAGGGCATACCAGTTTTATGTGAGCCTTAAACCCAGAATGGATTCTCATTATTATCAGTACCCATATCAATTAATTTTGTCCATTGTAACCCCATTATCAATGAAGAATTTCTGCATTGTTTTGAACACATCTCTCCATGTGGTTTCAAGAATCGGAATTCCTCCTACAAAGAATCACCTTTTATGTATCTAGCATGCACAAGTCATTGTTCACAGAAGGCATAATAATCTGTTTGTTTGTTCGCCTGAAGTGGTGTCCAGTTCATTCTGACAATGTTGCGGTTATGGTAACCATGATCATGTTATCTCACCACACATTATCCTATGTTAATTACTATACCAGATTTGATTTTCAATTAGAAATAATTATGGTGGTAGTTAAATGAGACACAGTGGATGTTAAACATAAAATAGCATGTAAAGATGTAAGGTTCATATTTTATGGTTTGAGTTTGAAACAACCCTTAGTTTCAAAGGACTCTTTCTAAGATTAAAAGGTAATCTTATTCACCAGTATGCTATTTTAAGTTATGTATATTTTGATTTACATGTTAAGGTAGTTTTCTTAAGGACTAAATTTATATGCTTGCATTTTTTATCTGTTTAGTAATGAAAAGAAGAATATAATTAATAATACTCATTATATTAATGGTATCATGACAGTTTTTTTCTTTAAAGATTAAATTTATATGTCAACTTCAATCTATATTACTAAAATCTACTTTTTATTAAATGATGAAAAGAACACTATAATACAATTTGATTTTTTTTCTGTGGGCAAAAGACTTTAAATTGGAAACCCTCATTTTGGTAATGTTATTGCCCAAGAGTGTATTGTCATCAAGTATTTTCACATTTTTGGGGTACGTAAGTCTTTAAGGTATGGAGCTCATTTTGTTGGTACCTCCAAGAGAACCTTGACAATTTCCCCTAAAAAGTTCAGTTCATTTATGATGTGCAGGGAGAGAATTGCTGTATATTGTGATAACAAAATGAAATCATTAACTGCACAAATTGGGTGAAATAATGAGACACTGAGCTTCAAGCAGGTGCTTAATAAAGAATTGAAATCAATTTTGTATATAATGCCTAAATGACTTTGTATTTCTTCCATGTCTTTTTTTAGAATTTCAGTGACAAAGTAGGAAATTATTTTGGTTATATAATGATATTACAGTTCTACTTGATGTAATGTTATTTATTTCTTGTTTATTTAGTGACACTTTCAGTAAATCAGTCTGTTTAACATGCAGGAACAGGTTTCTGCTTTCTCTCTCTCTCCTGTCATCAGCTGTTGCATCACCAGCACTGGTATTTCCCCTCACCGACTAAAAGTTAATGTAACCCCAAGCTGTGTGGCATCATGTCACAGTAGACTGTACTCTTAATGAAGTACTGTTTATGGTATAGGGAAGGTAGTACTGATCATGTTCCCTTTTTCTTTTCAGGTATTTGCAGGAGATGGCCTCCCTGCACTGATATGCCACCGATGTCTGTACCAAATTGAGAGATCCTTTGAATTCAAGGAGCAGTGTGAGCATTCAGATGCCACATTACGACAGTACCTCAAGAGACAGAAAGTCGGTGACAGCTGTCAGGTAATATGTAAAGAATTTAGCTTTTATGACTGTGCGCTTGCAACTTTGTAAGTTTCAGTCATTCTTATGGAACAGGTTCCTATTTCATGGTCTGCATAGTCCAGATGGATCATTTGCAATTAAATAGATCAGAAAAAATGAAGAGTTTCTCATTTTCCACTTACTCATGAGAAAGTACACGGAATGGATGAAATATTTGGTGGTGTTTGCTGTCATCCTTGTGTTGTAGTCAGGATTCGTGAGGTAAACTTATAATATATATGATGCCCTCTAGAACTAATTACAGAAGAATGAATTCAGCTCTTTGAGTACTGTTACACTGTATGTATTTAAGCAAGTGTTAACTAGGTTTGTTGTTGTTGAATGTCACCGCCTGCCATATGAGGTCCTAGGTCTCAGCATTCGCTGTTAAGATCTTTGTGATCATCTTCGATGTGACACCATATAGATTGGTTAATTAGTTAAGCACAGGGACAGTGCACAAATTTATGTATGTATGATAATATTTGAGAGAAATGAGGGCACCTCACAACTCATTGCTTCTAGCCAACATGAATTTGTTACATTTTATAACCTTCAATGAAGGGTAGCATAGATTTGCTATGCACACATCTTTTTTCAGACATCATTTGGGTTGGTGGAAGAAAAGCCTGCAAGCTCTTGCTTTTCCCCCCAAATCTTTCTGGTTTGTTGCCAGCTTTTCCCTCTGTTTTTGATGTCTTTCACATGTGTTCAAAGTAAACTCGTTTATCTAATAAATATTTTCTTTTATATTAATTGAAGCTCTTGTCTTTCCTTTATCAAAAGTTGTTAATTTGACTGCTTCAGCTGTATTATTGTCCATCTAACTCAATGTCCAGCATTCATATTCTGTGTTATTTAGCCATGGGAGATGTACTGTTGTGAAGCCTTTAAAGACTGAAGTTCTTCTGAATAATATGCGCATATAAAAATCCAGCTCTTACCTCACAGGAAATATACGATATCTCTGCTACAATGACTCTTAAGGGAAAGGGTGGCTGTTTATTGTAAGAACCATATGAAACACACAAATACACTGTGTGGGAAGAATGCAGAGTTTTAGTATGCTGAAGTCGGTGGTACATTCTCATATACTATCCACTGGCCCTTAAAGGGTTAATGTTTACAGAGGCTTGGGGCACCAGTCCAGATCTAAAGGAAATAGAATTATTTATTTCATATGGAAATATATTGGGTGTACAAAAAGACTGGAGGTATTGTTGCATTTTTCAGCTGCTAATTTTTATGTATATTTTGCATTCTGACAGGTAGTGACAATTAAGCAGGAGACTGTTCAAGAAGACTCAAGTCATGATATAGAAAATGGAATGGTACCTTTAGTATCAGACTGCAGTAGTACCAGAGATGATGTAAGTATTTATAAAATGAAATATGATGAATATCAGTAGTCTGTAAGAGTAGTTAGGCTGTATGTTAGGACTAAACGTGATCTGGGACTTTTGGGGCTTGTGTTTTGCAGAACATGGGTGCAAAACAAAATGAAATGCTGTATAAAGCGGGTCCCCAGCTATTAGACATTGAGCCGTCCAGTTTGCAAGGAGATAAACCCTCAGCAGCAGAGTGGACATACGGTCTGGATGTGGCCTCAAATAATTTCCTGTTTGAAAAGAGAGAGGGTCTGTTTCATGCAGGGAATCTTGTATTTAAACCTGAAGATATTAACTCAGTAGTCGTGGTTGTGGATCCATACTCCTCCATGGACATTAATTCCATGTCTGATGATGACAACTGTTCTGAGGGGGACAAGAGTGTCAAGCGTTTGGATGTTGGTCTGAAAAGCTCTCGTTCAAAAATTGCAAACCGAACTGTGAATTTCAAACATGGCAAGAAGTTGTCAGTTGTCACCAAGGTGGCTGGTGAAAGACCATTTACATGTCCTGAGTGTGGGAAGACATTTGCTCAGCGTGCCCATCTGGCACGTCATGAACTAGTGCATACTGGTGAACGTCCATTTGGATGCAGTGTATGTGGCAAGGCATTTGCTGACAGTTCAACATTGACAACACATATACGTACTCATACGGGTGAACGTCCATTTGTATGTGATACATGTGGTAAAGCATTTGCTGGACGTTCAGATCTCCGAAAACATGCCATCATCCACACTGGCCGACGGCCATATGTGTGCAATGTCTGCTTGAAAGCTTTCACACGCAGTGCCAACTTGAAGAAACATGCACGGATCCACAGTGGTGTACGACCTCATGCTTGCAGGGATTGTTCAAAGACATTTGCAGCCAAGGGTGACCTGACCCGCCATGCACTGATTCATTCTGGCTGCAAACCATTTGTCTGCACTGTCTGTAATGTGGCTTTTGCTCGTAGAGACAAGCTGACACGACATGAGAAGACGCATGGCCGGGATGAGCTGTCTTATGTATGACAGGCTTAGTTAAATCTATGCTCATCTCTTTGGAGGGAAGGGTTTATTGTACCAATTCAAGAGTATTATGTTTTTTTTTCCCACAATCATGGAATGATGTGTATTTATTGCTTGCCTGATTTGGGGATTCCAGTTAGACTGAAAGTTGATTTTAAGTGATATTAGACAGAAGTTGATGATTTGTAAGTTGTTCCTACAGAATATTTTTAGTCTGTAAATTTCTGTTATTTTTTCATTTTGAATGTTTTGTTTCTGTGCACTTCAAGGAGTGTGTTGTGTTTGCATGCTTAAAGGATAGAAATATTTGTACTGCATGATATGAAAGAAGTGCAAACCAATGGCTGGTGCTATGAAGATGAAGACTGAGTTTTTTGAAATGCTCAAAATTCACTGAATGAAATTTAATTCAGACTTTTAAGACTTAATTTTTTTCTAAATTTAAGGAACTTTAGAACAAAATACTGTGGCTGTGTTTGAAGTATTTTATGTGTGACACAGCTAGCTGTGTTGTTCACTGTAGTCATATCACATGTGTTCAATTTTTCATTCACATGTTTTGTGTTGTGTTCCCTTTAGGGCATCTCAGGTCACCACAAATGTCTATGCCAGTGACGTAAAAACATAGCTTAATTTGACTGTAACCTATTACAGCTGGATCTGATGCACATAAAGATTAGAATATAATTTTGAAGAATGTTGCCCTCTTGGTCGTGATATCATGCTTTCTGATTAGATGTTTACTAATGCTTTGGAGGAACATTATGTCTCAATTTTTAGGGCAGAAGGTGATGAACATAATACCACTAGAAGAATCTTACTCTTCTACCAGTAAAAGAGTCTTATTCTTCTTCCCTGAAGATAGAAGTAGTTTGTTTCTCTAAAATGTCAGTGGACATCTGCCATATTGAACAACATCATGTCCCAGCCCAGAAGAAAATGTGCTTTACAATCACAGCCATGTGATCCTCAAATCTCACAAAATATAATCTTGTTTAAGGTGACCCAGATAGCTACACAATTCATTGTAACCATACTGGCTATGTTCTGTTTTGCACTAACATGTATGGTTTTCTTTTTTTCTTTAGTCTGCCTCAAATTTTGCACCTATTATTATTTTTTTTATGGCTAGTGGGGTGGGACTAAGTCCCTTGTACTGCAGCCACTTCTGGCCTATTGTACCAGCCCAAAATGGTAGGTGAGGGTGATTGTGGAGCAATTGGTGGAATGAAGATTGGCAGAGGAAACCAAAGTACTTGGAGAAATCCTGCCCCAGCGCCACTTTGTCCACCACAAATCCCACTTGACCAGACCTGGGATCGAACCCGGGCTGCCGCAGTGGGAAGCCAGTGACTAAGCGCTTGAGCTGTGGCGCGGCCATTTTGCACCTAAAACATACAAGTCCATGAACTAAACACAAAACATAATTTTGCATTGAAACTAAAATTTTGATCCAATATACATAATGATTAGAAAGGAATCTGTTATTGTGATATTACAATTTGGTTAAGTGATCTGTTTCTGTGTATTTATAAGATAATTTAAACATAACTTTTCTTGGTGTAATAACTGTGGTTATAAATTGTACATTAAAAATTCTGTACTAAATAATGGTACATGCTTAGGCTACATACATTTATGTGTAGAATATATATACAATTGTAAATATAGGAAGATATAGGAACTCAAACTGCATTACATGGGAGGGTTTGGAGATGCGTACTCTTGCGGTGTACAAATGTGATAGCATAAATTGGAGATACATCATCTGACACAGTCATATAGTATGATAGTCGTTAGGCTGTGTAGTGAGAATAAAAGATGTTACAAGCATTTGTTTCCAGAAAAATAAAAAATTTTGAAATATTATCGAAATTTTATTTAATAATAACTGGATACTCCAATCATTACATTTCCTTCATTGCTGTTAGAAATGATGTACAAATGTTAATAATATACTTAAAACATTTGTTTCTTGTACTGAAGTGTAAGTCTTAATTAGTGGTTGTTGCCTCCAAATTTTGAAATTATTATTGCACTCTGCTGAAGAATATGTCATTTGAAAGAGTAGTATTAATTAAAATCAGCCCCAAAATATTTATTTAATAGGAAATCCTCCAAGAAAGCTGTTATTCTCATAGATTGCATTTCATGTTTTCATGGCAGTAATTGAATGCATATACTCGTATATATTTTTGTTTTCAGATTTGTCACATTTACACTCAGGATCTTTTTTGTGTCTATTGTTATTTCATTACCTGGTTTGAATCCCGGATTGGGCAATGACTATCCAGACAGGTTTCTCATGCTATTCTTCAGCCCTTCCAAATAAGGGCAAGGAAAGTACAGTAAATTCTGTCACAAGAGGTTTCTTCCATATCCTTCCCAATTCATTATTCAGTATTTTCCAGTCAATCGGTATTCTGTACAGGATATCCAAAAAGTGTACGCACTTTATGAACTTATATGTTAACACATGAAGTGGACAGGTGTGTTGATTACCTTAAAGTCACAGATTTTTTAAATCACCACCAGCACCACCACCAATGAATTGCTGACAGTAGTGTGGAAGAGAGAGGCATACTTCTTGTATTGTTGCTGATTGAATAGCAGCACAGGAAATTCCATGCTTAAGTGCCTGCAATGTTCTTGGTTTTGTGGCATTGTACTGTGCTGTTTGGAGTACCACATAGTTCAAATTCTGAAAGTGTAAAGTCAGGAGATCAGGGTGGATACTCCACTCTTCATCTTTTTCCTGTCCGTCTTCTGGGGAAATAAACATTGAGAAAGTTTCTCACATTGTTACGGTAATGTTGTGGCACACCAATGTGATGAAATTAACGGTCTTCATCAGATGTTCATGCAAGGTATGATGTTACCCTCCAGCATTGTTAAGTTGGCGGTACCTGTGACAGTTGCTCCAAAGAAGAATGACCCTAACATACATCAGGAAGACATACCACACCACAGTGATTCATTCATTCATCTGTAATCTGTCAAGATGACAGGTCCACAGTCTCTTCCAAAACAGTTCCTCCACTTGATGCGATCTAGAGCTTCTCCTTCAAATGAAAATATCCTCTTCTGTCCCCAAGGTCATCCAACATCTTCTTATGTCTTCTTCCTCGTCTTCTGGTCACTTCTATCTGCCCCTCTATCTTTCCTCAATAATTTCTTTTAGAAGGCAGTTACCGCGTAAGATATGACCAATCCAATTAGCCTTTCATTTTCTTATTTCATGTAGGATATTCCTCTGCTCACTGACTCTAAATAACACTTCTTCATTTCTCACATAATCGGTCCAACTGATCTTCTCCATCCTTCTCCAACACCCCATTTCGAAGCTTTCCAGGCGTTTCTGATCTACTGCCCTAAGTGTCCAAGTTTCAGCCCCATACAAAGCAATGATCCAAACATAGCATTTCACTCATTTCTTTCTCAAATTTAAGTCCAATTTGCTGGTAAAAAGATTCTTCTTCTTGCTAAATGCACCTTTTGCCATGGCAATCCTAGATCTAATTTCATACGTGCACCTTCCATCATCTGTTATCAAGCTACCCAAATATTTAAAACATTTCACATTCTCCAGTTGTTTTTGGTCTATCTTTATTGTGACTGGGGTTGGTTGTCTCGAAATTTTCATTACTTTTGTTTTTTCCACATTCATTTCCATGGCATAGCACCTTCCAATCTTGATTAGCCTATCAATCATACCCTGTAGCACAGTTTCTTCCTTAGCCATTAACACAAGGTCATCTGCATATTTCACATTTTGAATAATTTGCCCTCCTAATTTTAAGAGTTCAAGCCCGTCCAGAGCTTCTTTGGTAAGGCATTCGCTGTACAAGTTGAACAAAATTGGTGATAAACAGCATCCTTGTCGAACTCCTCTTCCAATCTTCACACTTCTTGTCTCCCCACTGTCCAGTCGTACTCTAACTTCGTGATCCATGTACAGTTTACTAATCAATGTTCTTTCACGCCAATCGATACCTGTTTCCTTTAGGATCTGCATTAATTTGGTCCAGTTTACACGGTCAGATGCCTTCTGCCAGTCTATAAAGCAAGCACACAGTCCTTCATCTATCTCCAGAGTTCATTCTGCTGTAATTCTCATCATCCCAATTGCAACCCTGGTTCCTTTTCCTCTTCTAAATCCAAACTGATCCTCTCCAAGTATATCCTCTATTTTCCTCTTGATTCTTCTTTTAAGTATCTTTGCTGTACGTGCAGTGAGGCTTATTGTGTGATGGTTGCTGCATTTTGTAGCTTTTGTCTTTTTCTTTCAGGCAATCATTGTCACTTCTGTAAAGTCCTTGGGCCACTCCCCAGTTTCATATACGGTGTTTATTAGTTTTGTCAGTGTTTTCAAACCACCTTCTCCCA